TTGCAAATGATACCCATCCTCTAAAAAAATGTAAAAAAAACCCAGATCTGATTCAGGCAGGTTCATGTGTGCCACAGTACCCGGTCCTATGGGTTTCAGTAAAGCTCCAAATAACTGATAATACTACAGACAAAAATCTGTTCATTTATTTATGTTTTTGGAGGGCAACAGTAAAAACCTCTTTGTTTTCCCAGCGCTTTCAGTTTGGAGCTCCACTGAGTTTGTCTGATTCTATTCCCAATGTTGCACCAGGAAACCAAACATTGACCATGCACTTTGATGTGTGCTTACCTCCAGCATGCAAGCAGCAAAGAAAAACCTGCCTGCCTGAGCTTTTTCCCCCCAGCGTGTTGTGTTTAAATCAGCTGGCCGCAGCAAGAAGAAGTCGCCGAACCAGCCGGCGGCGGTGCACACTTCCTAATTAGTCTGCCCTCACACTGGCTAACACCATGGGATAGTTGCTTCCCTCACACATTTTCTTCTGCTCACTTTCATATAACCAATGGTTTTGTTCTCTCTCCAGTCCCCCCCGTTCTTTTCTTTTACTCCTTTCCAAGTTTCCATCTCGGTCTTTATGTTGCTGTTTGCTTTTTGCTCTCATTCTGTCGTCTGATGCATCTTTCATTTCCTGCTCCGGTGTCTCATCTTCTTCCTCCTCCAGTCTTCCTCATCACAGCGCGCTCGCTCTCACATCAACCTGCATACTCAGATGCTCTGAAATATGGATGAAATAAGATGTTTGAAGGAGAACCACGTCTTGCTTAAGGGATATCAATTTCTGTGGTCGAGCTAATGTAGCAAAATCACGCTTTATTGATTCGTTGCTTAGCTGTTGTCTGTAGTCTTCACATGCCGGTAGGAAAAAAAATGGCAGAAAATCACTGCAGGGCCCTGCTTCCCTAAACAATCTAACTTTTAGAGCAGATTAATTTAGAGTGATTACAAGCTTGGTGTTTTTTTAATTGTTGTTTGTTTCCTATTATGCCACATTATATCAGTAAACGCAGAGATCTGAGAACACAACATGATACGATACACACTAGAAGAGGAAGTAACAACACATGGGCTGCGGCTAAATCATCTTTTTTGATCAGGAAGGTTCCACCTAAGTGGAATGACCTGGAATCATCTTAAGAGGAAGCCATGATAAGAGCGAATGCCAAGAAAAGGGGCTTGGATGCTTCCTTCTTATCTCCTTTAATAAAGCATCCATTGGTTCATCTTGTAAAGTTAAATATGTGTCTTCCATAACTTTCTATTATGCTTATCTGATGTCCCTCTCTTGGTCTGTAGTTGATTGTGGTTAGTTGCTAAAACGCAGGTAGCTGTTATGCAGACAGACCAAGTCAGTACATTATTGTTGGGTGTTGTTTTCATCGTGTGCAAAGTGTAGAACAATTTTTAGATTGCGAGCGCTAAAGAGATTCTTATCCAGATGTTTTTTCTTGCAGATCTTCTATAGCCTGGTTCCTCTCTTTGCAAGTATTCAGTGTCACCGTGCTTGTTGTCTAATCAAAACCTACATAACTTAGAATTTAAGACATTCCAGCCCTGCTTCTCTGCTGTTCAGTCAACAGGAGGGTAACCGACTCTTCCAGCTCGTACTGTTTCTCATTTCTTGATGTCATTAGCAGCCTGAGCTTCATCACACTGAGAAAACTGTAGATCACAAAAGGTTGGAGCAGTTGTGGTTGTGCATCTGGCCTGGGGCCTGCAGACAGGCAAACAGCAGCCGTTATTAGCTGCTGATGACAACAGGGCAGCCTCACCTGCCTCCTTCTGAACATAAGTAGAAGAGGACACGCAATTCTGTCTGCCTGTATAGACTCATTTAGCCCTCTATCTCTCTCTTCTTACGCCGTTTGAAAAGCAGCCTGCTGAAGTGTCAACCCATCAAACTGCTACTCCACAAACCCCCGAGCCCCCCACACACACACATATCCACCCCCCTCGAATGTTTTATCCAGAATCAGCCACTGTCTTCAGCCATTAATATGATAATATTTGGCGTTGTCAGTGATGGAGGCCGCGGCATAATGAGATAATTACAGTGTTGTTTCATTTGGAGAGCGACACGCACGCTCAATCAAAATGGCAGGCCTAATTACGGGCCCAGGGATTGGCTAATGGGATCGCTAGAAGAGGGGTGGCGTGAAAAAAAAAAAAATCTCAACTTGGCTCCGAGCGTCCATTCTCTGAGGGGTCTGTTTGTTTGTTTGGAGTGGGGGCTGGTGGGCGGCAGAGGGTAAGTAAGAGTAATAAAAAAGCAAGTAGTAAGTGAATAAATAAATAATACAAGAGATTAAGTGTGAATATCTTAATAGCAAGGTTGTCTGCAGGATGGAGCACTTGGGGGGGAAACAGAGATTAGTATTGATTAGCTGTGCGTTGAAACCAGCCATTAAACCAATCTCAAGAAGCAACAATTAGCACGGTAGTGGGCCAAAAGCTGCTTCAGATATCCATCTTTATAAAACACAAGCATCTGCGCTGGCATTTCACAGCAGCCACAGAAACTTTCGCAAAGTTCTTTCGTCATGGCAGCAAGTCAGCGTCGAGTTTTGTGCCCCGCGCCGCCGACAGGGACTCGGCGGCGAGGGGTTGCACACACACACACACAGACGTTTGTGTCGAATGATAGCGACACTTTGAATTCCAACATACTGGCACAGAAGTGGATGTGACTCAGCCTTCTGTCCCCGCTGAGTTGGATAGAAAGACGGGCTGCATTAAATCAGGGTACGTATACACAGGCACAGTGTGTCCCACATAGCAAATTACAAGAATTGATTATACGCACACAGAAATACACACTTTCATACATTCCTAAGATTGTATTCACGCACACAAACACACACACACACACACACACCCGGAGTCTCGGCCAGATTTTCTAATTAAAGCCGGGGTCGCAAGAGAGACTTAAACATGTAAGCTATGTACTTCACTAATGAACCTCTCTATCTGGTCTCTCGCCTGCTCGCTCTCTCTCCTCTTCGCTCCGTTTTGGTCAATATCTGCCTGGAGGTCACACCATTAGGATGGAAGGCACAACGCATGTCTGATGAAGGCCGCGTGGGCGTTTGTGTCGGACAAAAGCCTAGTTGTTCAGGGTGTTACACGGATGCAGAGGTAGGGGTGGAAACTTTTTTTTTTTTTTTGTGAATATTTTTATACAGTGCGTGTCTCCTGGGGGACGAAATAGCAAACGAACAGCATATCAGTGTCAATATTAGATACCTGTTTCCACTGCAGCCAGTAAACACAGATAAACGACAGCACTGTGTCGTACTTTGGTAGCACATCCTGAAGGATTGTGCTCACTCAGGCGCACACTGTTTGTCTGTTGCCTTTTGTGTGTGTGTATTTGTGCATCCACACCCTTGTTTATGTGTGCCCGGCTCTGTACTCTGGGGTGTGTGTAGCTTATCTGGCATTAAGGTCCAGTGAGCATGATGATGTTTCTCTTTAAGTTTTGTCCCCATTCTGTCCTGAGTTCTTATCTCTTCACTGACAGTCACTGGCACTGTTTTCCTTCTCTCTATTTTTTTATTTTTTTGCTGAGGTTTTCACCTTCTGGTCACTTTCCGCTCAGGTTCAGCAGCACCATTAGGTGTCGATCTATCCGTCCGTAGTTCAATCCCGGACAGCGCCCTATTGCTCCATGTGGCTTTTATGTGAAAAGGTACATCCATCAAATGTTTTATCCTGTTTCACTTCCATTTTTTCCCCCCCGCCTTGGTTTTCCTCTGTCAGCTGTAGAAAGTTTGGTTCAGGCACTGATGTCTTCTCAGAGGCTTTGTGGGTATTTTCTGTCTGCCTGTCAGTCTTCCTCTGCTGTCAAGAAGTTGTCACTGCGAAGCCAAAGAATACAGGTGGATTCAACAAAAGATTAAACCGAATGCTCCGTGTTCCACCTGCCCCTGCCTTTGCTTTTTGAATTCCGAGCTGTGGTGAAAATTAGAAGGAACAAATACCATCCTTAACCCTCTGAATCCCAAAACCTGCCAGCACATTTGAAAGACATGGGTTTAAAAAAAAAAAAAGCCAAAATCACACCATTTATCAGAGCCAGGAGCTGCAAAAAAGAGAACGAATTGTCAGATTCTTGCAACCTATCATGTGTGATGTACTGGTTTGTCACGAGAAACAAGCAAATCTGAGCTTAAAATTGTGATATTTTCCCAAAATCACTTTATTCTACATTCAAAAACTCACAAAAAAAAATTTGCACCAGATACCGTATGAAGCAAACAATTCTCCTCTCCTCGGCGTAACTGAGAAGATGACTCACCTGTCACAGTCACATGGCAAAAAAATGGAGAGTTTTCAGGTGAATTGCAGACTGTGTTTACACGCAGCAGAAGGGAACCAACAAAAGAGATTAAGAGGAAAATAAAACCTCCTTGAGCAGTAAAATAAAGCCGGAGCGACTCAGAAACGGGAATACAGAGGATCAAGATGTCAGCAGGTTGATGGAAGATACATTCAGCACGGTGAAACATGTCAATGTGCAGAGTGGTGTGGATCATAGAGGTAGTAAAAACATAAATAGGCCTTGTCGTGGAGTAGTGTGATTGTCTGCATTATAGCTGTTTCCTCCTGCACAAAAGACTTTGTTGAATTCTCTCTACTTTTAACCACGGTGTTTCCATAAAGATGCAGGACTTTATATTTCTGTAAAAAAATGAACCCGCTGTGAAGAAAAATGCAACCAGAACAAAAGATCCAAAAGCTGCTTGGAGTTCCGAGGGTTAAAGCCAAAGCATTTGACAATATTACGCTTTGTTATTTGTGTTCTACTTTCTTTTTTGTGTTTATACTTTTACTGAAAGCCAAGACTTCCGATTGAGATCCCGTTGTGTGTAAGGAAACGTATGCATAATGACAATAAAAAGGATTCTGAAAACAAAACTATCGGCATGATGAGAATGTTTACATCTCACCATCCAATGCAATCATTTGCTGTTGTTTACACTCCGTCCTCTGTGTCTCCACAGCGATCAGCGTGTCCAGGGGTTGCGTAGGGAGTACCAGCAGGCCCGGGCAGCTCCAGCGTACGAAGAGCTGGAAGTCGCGCGACGCCGAGCCCTGGAATATGATCCCAACAGGGTGAGTGTGCATGCTTGTTTGTTTGGAGTCGGCAATTAAGTTCACACTTGTCCTGAACATTCATAAACATTGTACGACATGACAGCGGAACACAAACCCGCACTGGACACCGGTTTCAAATCATGAAATGCCCACTCTGTGTCTGTATATGTGCTCGTCTCCAGAACGTGTTCCTGTGAGACCGGCCAGCTTTCCCCTGTGCCTCTCTCGGGCTATTTTCAGCTCTCTTGTTAACATTTTGAGGTGCTGTGTGCCATCGAGGCGGCGCCCTCTCTCATCCTCATTTAGTTTATGGAGAGATCTATTAGACCAGTGACATTTCCATCCACCCTATCTTTTAGCTCTGCACCACAACTTTATCTCGCTCCCTCTCATTTATCCCACTGCTGGTCCATTTTTACTTCTCTGATGTCGTTCTCCTCTCTTGTCTTTTGCTTTCTTATTTTGGCACCAGCAACAATGGCCTGACTGTGGTAGTTGCCTCCTCTAACCAGGCTGCATCGCTAAATGTCCCTGAACCTGTATTGATCCAGCCTGAGGAATCATTTCATTTACCTCCGTATACTCCTGAACTCACCACGGAAATCAATAGCCATTTATCACCCATTTTAAAATAGGATTCTTTTAATAGCGAGCCCAAAGATGCAGAAAATCACACTTTGATCCGAATCAAAATCACAGAATCCAGCCACGGCGATTTGCAAAGGCATTTCCCAGATTTATTTCTCATTAAGTACCACAACTGAGCAAAGAGGAGAGAAGAGGCATGTGGGAAATATGGGATGGATTTACTGACAAAATCGCCGATACTCAATCACCTGACACAACCTGCCTCCTGCTGTGTTCACTCCCTCACTTATTGTAGTCTGTGTTTATTGAGCAATGAAGCACTGTGAACCAGTCTTCATTAGGCGCTCGCAGACACACATCACAGTTGCTGTCTTTGAGGCCCAAAGGGGCTTTGTCACTCATTACACATCCCGGTGCAGCATGTGTTTCTGTCTCGGTTTGCCACAACTCAGTCGGTACCGAAAACTCTGATGCAATTAAAGCGCAGCAAGAGCGAGGTGCAACCTCTGATCGGATTGTTATTTTTTACCTCAAAAAAAGACAGTGGCGTCCACAGTAAAAAGCAGCAGTGGGTTTCTTCCCTGAGGAGGCCGATAATGAAACACTCCACTCGCAATCACACACACACGCGCGCTCGCACACGTACGTAGTGCGAATAGAAACACTAAAACATCAAGGAAGTTATATTGGGTCCATAAAAAGAGAAAACATGATAATGGAACGCTCTGTTGGTGCACACATGTTAATGGGGTTGGCAGATATTAGGAAAACTTCAAGATGCGACTCCGTACGTCACTGTTACCTCCCATGACCTCAGTAGTAAACATAAAGTAGAATCCTCAAACCTGATAGAGTAGAATTTATGGCTAAACAGTTAGATTTCCCAAGTGTAGCTAATAAAATGACCAACTAGTTGTTCTTTAGCTTTACCTATTTTTAAAAAAATGTCAGCTCATGTGTTCCCTCGTGTTTTCAACTCCACAACAGAAACCACTAGACACTTCAAAATGTACTTTTTAGGTTTATGTTTTCAAGAAAATGACACAATAATGTATTTAGATCTGATCTAAACAGTACAAGTTATTTGTAAATGCAATAAAATCAGCTGTTTTGGGTGTTATCAGCCCATTAAATACTCATTTTTATCATCATTGCCATACAGGCCTGTTGGCACCTCCTCCTCCTCAATAATGGGGCTTCATTATCGCCTGACTTTATACCAGTGAAGCTGCAATTTACACTTAGAAAGAGTAGCTAAAGTCCCGGAGAGCTGAGTTTGAGGTACGTAGTTATAGTTTCGGCTTTTACTGTCATAAATGGTTAAAATCCACTCTGTTGCTTGGTTAACAACATGTTACAAAAGTCTGCTAGATGTCGCAACGTTAGCAGGTTACTTTCTGTTAATCAGGGGGATGATAGAAGATGAAGCATGCCCCAGCTGATCTATACGTATGAGAATGATCAGCAGCTGTGCAATGCACTGACAGCATTCAAATCAGAGTATCATCAGCATATTGATAAAAAACATCAGCATAAGACAAACAGACAACACAACTGATTGCTGTTTACGCCGAGAGCTGTTCACCTTCAAGTGCTGACAACAAGCTTTTTTGATTCTCCAGGTTATTACTCCACACTTACCGACTTTCTCTTTCTGTGCAGTATGTGAAAAGCCGACCACTTGGCGCTCACTCGCTCACGTCGGCCTTGTTTGATCAGCCTTTTAGTCATCACCTCCACCGCCGCCGCCTCTACCACTCGGCGCTGCTCTTTTATACTCAGCCATTTCTTTAGCCTTGAATGGTTAAAAAGGTTTTCCAAGCTCTCCACACAAGGCCAGGAGCCCCATTCTCTCTCTCTGAGTGGTTTGTGTGTGTTTGAAAGAGAGGATGACTGTGTGTGTGTGTCTACATTTGCTCTCCTGAGCTGGTGGATCCTGACTAACACACTAACCTAAACTGACATAAACAAAAGCGGGGATAAAAGAGTGTGGTTACCGCGTCTATTCATGTCTCTGTTTATTCTTTTAGCGGTCGTCTATCTGCATGATCTCGAGGTGGAGTTCTTTGTAAGCGTGTGTGTGTGTCTCGCCACGTTTAAGCGGGTGTGTGTCACCAGCTGCTAGATTGTGTGTGTGTGTGAGGGTACATGCAGTTAAATGTGGTCTTCAGAAAGGACTTCATGTCCCTTCCTCATTTCTTTTTTCTAACCCCGCTCGCTCTGTGTCCCTGTCTATCTATCTGTCTCTAATTTGACCCTTCCTCCTTGTTCCCTGTCTGTGGATAGGTCACACTTGTAATTATGCCAATCACACTGTCCCACTCCCTCTGTCTATTTTCTCTGTATGCTAATGATAGGCTCTCTGTAATGTCTTGATGGCCAATTAAGCCACTGAAGTACATGAGAAGTTTCTTTTTATGGACTTCTTTGTTCTATAAAATGAGTTGGGAGGAACTTTTCACACAGAGGCTGAGCTTGATATACTTTTATCCGATTGGTAAGTACTTGACTGCGATAGTTGTATGGCGTGTTTTACTTCTTTTAATTTTGGATTATACCCACTTGATATTTGGGGACTTGTAAAAGAAAGATTTAAAAAAGGGAATAAAGGGTTGAGATCGTACCTTTGTGTATGGATTCTAAAGATGCCAGGATCAGCTGCACAGAAAACCAAGTCTGGGTTCAGGATTCCTTCACCCCATGAACCATAAAAACCTGCTGATGGGTCTTTTAAAATGTTGCTAATTAGACCATTTATCAAGTCATCATGAATGTGTTACGCATGATGTGCACTTCCAGTAGGACAAAAAAGCCAAATTCAGCTTAAAATTGTGATATCTCATTGAAATCAGTGTTTTCTAAATGTCTCACTGCAAAAAATCGTGAAATGAAAGTATTTCCCGTAAAGATAAATAAATATAAAAATGAAGAAAAGCCAGGACTGACTCTGCTGTGATCATGTGACAAAAATGAATTCAGTTTAAAACCAGTATATAGATGCAAGAATAAACGTTTAACGTTGTGAAACATCTTGGAAGTGATATGAAAAGCTAGTTTTTTGAGTTTATAAAACTGTAAAGAGGCCTTGTCAAATAGCTTATCTTTAGGCCCTGAAGCAAGCCTTCGTTTTTATTCCAACATTGATAGCATCTGTGGGCACTTGGAGAGGGTTAAAATAAAGTTTAAATCCTTTAAAATTAGCCAAACTGTTGCTCAACAAACCTCATCTAGGAAAGAAAGGAAAGAAAAAAAACTACATCTGACTTCATCCATCTGTATCCACAACATGACCAAGTTTATGGCGATAAATGAAGAAAAAGAATAGTTCCAGACTTCTTGAATTCATTCTCATTCCAGTTTCCTCCCACATTTGTTTGCCGTTATTGGCAGATCAAATTAACTTTTAGTTTGTACTTACTTTTATTGATTCCTTCAGAAGAAATCATCTCCTCCAACCAATTTGGGTTTATTGTCTTTATTTCATCTTGCGATTGTTTTTCTTACTATCCATAGGCCAACGTTGTGAGGCAATAACAGGTGTCATAAGCGCGATACAAGCAAACAAACTGTCGCCATGGGAACTGTTGATTTTTACTGCTGTGAAATCTCTGTTTAAGCAGTAAATGCATAACGTTGCATAAACCTTTGGAGTAAATCCCTCAGCTGTGGAGAAATTAGGCCTCAGGAGGCACACTAGAGGGTAAAACTTAAGGTAGATCTTACAGAGCAAGGATGTGGATTTGAACTCAGAGTTAGAGTGCTATTGTCCCTTTTGGAGTTCATCTTTTTTTTTTTCTTTTTAAACTTGCATTTTGATATTCTGTGAGTCTGTTTTGGATTGCATAAGAAAAGACATCTCGAGGTTATATTTGTTAGAGTAAAGGAAGATGTGTTCTAACAGATTCCACATGACTGATCTGATATGTGAACCTGGTTGAGTTCCCATTGTGTTTACTACTGATTGTTGCAATTATTTTAATCGTTTTTCTTTGGATTTTCTTTCTTCCTTTCCTTCTTTCTTGGCCTCTTTGCTTTGCCCCCTAGTGGTTATTATCGGACATCCACAGCTGGTTCACTCACCACGACCACATATTCACCTCCGCTCACACAACTGAACGTCCAGGAAGCCTCACATCAAACTGTGTGTCTTTTTTTTCTCTTCTCACCCTGATTGCACATGTAAGACATGTTTATTATAATGTAAATTTATATCTGACCCTCTGCAACATGGTCAGCCAAAATGAATGACACCACAGCGAGGCAGAATCCCCCAGTGTGGCGAAGACGCACACGTGCAGAAGGAACTCTCACTCACACACACACACACAGACGTGAACTCATGCATCTTATCTTCAACTCATTACCCTGTGAGTCGTAAACAACAGTGGCAGCACATGTGACACCTTAATGAACACAGAAGTCAAAGAAAA